TGCTTCAAATGTTTTAATGTTCCTCTTTTTCTGTATCTTTAATTAAAGGCTTAAAGTTTTTTTAATGGTGTGTTTGCCATGATCCTTCTTAATGCATGTGTCATGGGCTAAATTGGCATGTGGCCAGGATTTATAACTGAATTTAGCTTGCTAGTTAAATAATTAGCTTTTCTGGCCCATGGTGTCTCCTGGTGGGGAGTGTGAGAAGAACACTGTTCCATGTACCTCATACTAAGAAGGCTGAAGTCTCCATATAGCAAACCCAGAGCCTTGTTTAAAACTATTATTGAACAGGGACTGGGTTATATTAACACCTTTGATTCTTTGGGTTCATATATTCCATCTAAATTAATTCATTAGACATCATAGTCGTAAAAATGTCTTGAGTCCTGTTGGCAAGATAGTTTCCACTTTTGCTACCTCTGGTGAATATCATTTATGGTTTTCTTTGGCTAGAGATGTTTAAAACATTAATCCATAGGAAATTAGGTGGTAATATGAATGTCACTTGAAGTCTGCTTAACTTCGAAATTATTTTAGGATGAATGAGATGAAAGGGAATTGGGAATTGGGAATTTTTTGTTTCCAGGGAATGCCTCTTTGCTTCCCCTCCAATTACTCTTCACCCTACATACCCTAGCGAGGCCGCTCGACTCCTGTTATTGCAGTGGTACTCAACTCATTTCAGTCTACGGACCACCAGGTCAATCTCAAAGTTTTCGTGGACCACCTCCTTTTTGAGACATAATCAGAAACATTTTTATGACTATGTTGTCTAATGAATTAATTTAGATAATTTTGAGAAAAAAGAGAAGACAACAAACATTTTGTTTTGAAATTTATTTCTTATTAACAGATTTTTTTATACTCTTCTCACTGACAAACTTTTCAACGTTTGGAGTGGGACTTGATAATGAATAACGAATATCACTTTCCACTGCAAGCCGATTCCTCTGTTTAGACTTAACGTGCAACAAACACAAAAATCCAGTCTCACATGTATAAGTTGATGCAAATGGCAAAAGAAATCTGATTACATGTGCTGACAGATTTGGGTAACTCCTGGTCATGCTGGCCCCAAATTTCTCGATGGTAGACTGCTGGTACACGTCTTGAGCCGCAAAATCATTTTTCAGATCCAAGAATTCCTCCTGCAGATCCTCTGGAACACTATTAACATCTGTTGTAAATGGATTCCTGATGAAAGATAATCCATACCTTGTCCTGTCCACCTCCGGAAAGTATCGTTGGAATTCATCTCTTAGCTTCCGTAAATGATAAAGAATTTGTGTCCAAATGGCTTCCTTTTCCCCGAGCATGGCATCCACATATGGAAATTGAACCAAATTATTGCCTTCGACTCTTACGATCCAGAGATCCAATTTGTCAAGAAAAGCCTTGATGATGCTTTGGTGAGAGAACAGATCTGCACCTTTCCCTTGCAGCTGAAGATTCAGTTTGTTCAAGATTTCAAAAATATCAACAAGATGCGCAAGTTCTAAATTTGACTGCGTCAGCACATTTCAGAATTCCTCTCTCCCTTGAGCCTGGAGAAATAAATCCAACTCCTCTCTCAATTAAAAAACTCTGTTGAGTATGTTCCCTGCTGACAACCACCGTACAGAAGTGTAGAACAGCAAAACATCGAAGTCGGAACCCATGTCCAGGTAAAATCTTTTGAACAGCCTGGTGTTCAGAGCCGATGGTTTGATGTGATTCACCACTTTCACTAACCCTTTGAAAATGGCGTTCAGTTGATCAGGCAATGTTTTTGATGCCAAAGCTTCCCTATGAATGAAACAATGAACTCTGATTACCATTGGAGCACGCTGTTTCACCAGCATTTGGAAGCCCAATCTTGAGCCCAGCATGGCAGGTGCATCATCAGTGGTGACACCCACAAGATTTACCCAGTCCAGACCATGTACTTCAAATAAATAGTTAACAATTTCCATCACTTCCTGAGCCTTTGTGGTGGTATCAAGAGTCTTACAAAAAAGAAACTCGTCTTTGAAGTCTCCCTCAACCATGTATCGTGTGAACATCAATAGCTGAGAGCACAATGCGACATCAGTCGATTCATCCAATTGTATGGCAAACAACGGATACCTTCTTTATTTCTTCCACAACTTATTCACTGATGTTCTGTAATATCTCATTTATCCGTCTTGATACTGTGTCATTAGAGACAAATATATCATTCAGCTTCCTTGCTGCTTCTTTGCCAAGAACAAGACGCTACATCTCTTTTGCACAGGAGAGAACAAGTTGCTCTACAATGGTATGAGGCTTCTTGGCCTGTGCACCTTTGTATGCAACAATAGAGGAAGTGCACACTGCATTGCTTGTCTTATTGTAGAATGCACTTGTTGCGTCAAGGCGCTGCCGTTTCAGACCTGATAACCGCCACTCAAAATAATCTTCATCCTTTTGCAACAAGTTGGGGTGACACTTTTCGAGATGGAGTTTCAGCTTAGCCAGCTTCATTGAGTCATTCCCCAAGACTTTGAAACAAATAACACATTGTGGCAAATCTATGCCTTCTTTTTCTTGACAAGTGAAGCCGAATTTGTTGTAGTCCTCTGAATACTTATGCTTGACATTTCTTTCTGTCATTGCCATTATAAGCAAACTACACCACACCTGTAAAACAGCATATGTAGCACAGGATGAATGACACAGCAACCGCTCAGCACGATGGCGGCAGCTACACTGACGCTCAGAGCCTCAGACGGAAGTTACTGGCAACACAGTGCCATTGCGTCCTAGGTGACGCTATGGATGATGTGCCGCATGCTTGTGAACACGATGTAAAACAGCCTAATGGCTGTGGACCACCGAAAAAGTCACCATGGACCATCAGTTGAGAACCACAGTGTTATTGGCTCTCTTCTCCCATGGGACTTTCATGTTCTGTGGTGCCAGCAGCTGTGGGATGTGGAAACTTATGATTAAGAAACGGAAGTGGGATTGGTGTGGGGTTTATTTTATGACACCACAGTGATCTATGTTAAATATGATTTTTAATATCAGTATGTTCATTAATGGGCTAGAGAAACAGCGTAAACAGCATCTAAATGAAATGATGCTATCAATGGGGACTGCTGAATGAAACAACGCCAAAAAACGTGGGTATACAGATTAGATGTGGAAATAAAATAACAATGAATGGACATGTTGAGAAAAATACAAGTAAAATACCATGAAATAATTTAATTCAAATAAGATATTCAGTTTCCTGGAGCAGTGTGAAAAGCAGAACATTAGGCTACTGGTGTGCTGAGTCCACAGCCTTATTGTTAAGATTCTGTAGGCATTATGAAAAAGCAGAAGTTTAAGGCAGGTAAGAAGAGTTTTGCAGATGGGAATCTCTTTTCAGACATGAAGGGAAGAATGAGAGCAAGTGCGGAGGTGCTTGTTTTAAAATTTAACAAGTGTGTGATGGCATCATGGGCTGAGCAAAGGTGAATTGGACTCTTTTGCTTATCAATAGCTACTTCATACTACAATTACTGCCATAGGAATCATTCACTCAATTTCCTCTTTTGTCCACAGTGAAGGAGCTTTTTGCAGGAGTTGTTTGTTACCTCAGTTGTTATACTACAACTTATCCTAGTTAGCTATGATTGATGCAGGTATTTATTTCTATTCCTTCTTTGCCTTCCTGTCAGGCTTCATCCTATTATTTTTTCTGGGTTTATTTTTAACCTCAGAAAATCCTCAGAAAATGGGGTAGGGAGACTGTCTGACTAGGGGATTGGAGGACCAAATAGCCCAATATCTGCACATCCTTGGAACTCATAGAAAATCTTGTGCTGAATATAGCAGTAGGCTGAGTGGAGGAAGATTCCAGCTGGCTGAAGGGTACACTAAAGAAGTAAATGCTTTGAGTGTGTGAGAGAATGCTATATTAATCTGATGTATTTACCACACAAACTAGGATTGGGCTGTGCCTTTCATAATAAGTAGTATGAATCAACAGCTGAACAATGAGAGACCATAGATATATACATATAAATCTAAAAAGAATCATTAAGTTATTTTGTGAGAGCTGTAATAATAGTTTATTCATGCCTTTTGAAATTCTAATAATGACAAACTCAGGATACATCGCGATACATTTTATTATTTCAAATATGAAATTTCTCTAAATTGCTTAATTATGCATTGCATTTTTGTGTAACTACTGGTATCTCATTTTCCTCTAGGACTTGTATTAATTCCAGGAGCAGCACTAGGCCAAATCATAAGTGGCTTCTTGGTTTCCAAGTGCAAAATGGATTGCAAAAATGTAATCAAGTTCATTTTAGGTACTTGCTCAGTGGCACTAGCATTAAACACAGTGATTGTGTTTGCAAAATGTGGGAACGAACCATTTGCAGGTGTCTCCGAAACATATAACGGGTAAATATATTTTATTTTTTTATGGGCTTGGTAGCAATGTTCAAACCTAGTAAACTATTTTACAGTGTATAAATACACTTTTCAAATGGTCTTGTTAAGCTTTCTTTAATGTATGAAAAACACCTTTTGACAAAGCGGAGATTCCTCTCCATAGTTGAGTCCTCCTAGCAATAGATGAAAACAAGAAAAATTCAGAGTTCTTGTGATGTTGTATACAAGGGTGTGGCAGGCTGACTATGCTCAACTCTTATTTCTCTACTTCTTGCAGATGTGGCCAGGTCTTGTAGTTGCTTAGGTTAGATGTTTCTTTGAAGAAAGTTTTTTTTCTTAACCTTTTCAGTTTCTGTCAGTGCTCATTTAATGTATGCAGGTTTTTTTCTTGATAGAGATTCCCACCCCGTGCTCTTTCATTGAAACACATTGAAGAGATTGAAGTCCTACCTTTGCTGCTTTTACAGTGAACGATCTGCAACCAGTGGGCCTCTTATTGTATCCATTCTTTCTTAAAGACTGGGAGAATTCAGCTGTCAGAGTAAAGAGAGACTTAGCCCTGTCATTTTACTTTTTCTGTGTATACCTTCTTCTTGGCTGAAAAGCACTTAAAGCCCAGCAACTTAACTGGTAAATTGATCTTGCTGAAGGTGGAATGAGTTAGGCCTCGTTTGAAAGAAATGTGAGCAGGTATCATCATGTCAGTCATTTATGCCAGTCATGCACGGAACCAGTGCTCTTGCCTTGATGGATAAAGAGCATGGACTGCATCAGTGTTACCTTTTTGGCCTGCAGAATGGCCCTAGCTAGTGGCAATCTAAACAAAAGTGTTTTTGTTCACTTGGGATATAACTATACAGCCCATAGAGCAAGACTTACAACCTAGGTCAGCAGACTTGGGGTAGCATAGCTCATGTTAGTGCTCTCAGAATACCTGGTAGACAGCATGTTGAAATCATGACTTGGGCAGGATATTAGGTTCTAAAGTCCATCCTCCTTTCTTGGCTTCAGAGCCTGAGTTTCAGACTGAACTGCAACTTAAAAGTGTTGTCTTCACAGCTATTTTAAAGTGCTAGCACAAGCCCTGGTAGCCCAGCTATTAACCCTGGCAGGAAGGCTTATGGGGCGGTTTAGATTGTGTCACTCCTCCTATGCATCTCCCTTAGTTATCTGAACTGTTTTCTGGAGACAGAGCTTAATTAAGCCTTCTTGACCCTGATTCAGTAGTTCTTTCATTCTTCCTAAGTCTTGTTACCTCCTGTGTAGCTTAACGATTTACTTCTAATTTTATGGGTGAATCAATGAAATATGGTCTCTTGGGCCAGATGCTCCCTTCGACCCATTCTTCTTCTCTTTTATTGTATCAATGGATACTGGTCTGTAATATGGTCAATAACAATCTAGGCACTAGAATGCTTTAATTGTATTCAAATCAAATGAGAGCTACCCTTTTCCTATTTACATTTTTGCAAAAAGGTCCCCTACATTAATAGAATTCTAGTCTGAATGCAACTTCTTCTGAAAAATTTTTAAAGAGAATCAGTCAGAACAGTGTTCAACTAAAAGTACATTATATTTTAACCTTACTTTCAGAACAATGGGATTCAGAAGAGTATACTCCTAGGAATCGTTTTATATTCCAGTGGATAAGTGCCATCCACCCAGACAGTTATAGCAATATCTTAGTATGCTTTTTACTCATGGCTGGGGAGTGTGTTCACAAATAGAGAATTTTTGTTCCTTATTATTATAGTTGTGCTTAGATATTGCACCTGGGATGGGACCTCATTACGCTCCAATTACAATAATAAGTGATAGCTCCTGACTCAAGGAACTTTCATACTGAACACCAGACTTGCTTTGTTTGTAATAGAGGTGGAATGACTTGTCTAACTAGAATCCAACTCTAGTGTTCTATCCATTGAACTATACTAGTTGTGTTTGAAACTTTCAATTAGTCTGATTCTGGTGCTTGTATCTGTAAGGATTCTTGTCTCTTTCTGTTAGTTGATTTTGACTTCCTGAGCAACTTCAGCATTTCCATTTGACACCAGGTCTCCATGCTACATCTCAAAATGATTATCTCTGATATCTACTTGTCTTTGGTGCATTTGAAAGTAAAAAAGTTTAATGCATTCTAATATAGCATAAGAAAGATAACAGTTACAGCTTACATTGTTGTACCTGAAAATTATTTGGTGTTTCAATAGCCTTCTAACTTTATATTCTAACTCTGTCAGTCTTTATGAAAGCATAACATATGATGCTTTGGAAGAGTATTTCTAGTACTCTTATTTTAATTTTCCATTCAAAAAATTTAAAAAATGAGTTAAGACCAAAAAGCTACTCATTTAATGAGATATTTTCAAAGACACAAATGGAAGATGAGAACTTGAGAATGGCCATACTGGGTCAGATCATTGGGACATCTATCCCAGTATCCTGTCTTCTGACAGTGGCTGGTGACAAATGCTTCAGACAGAATGAATAGAACAGGGCAGTTAAGTGATCCATTTCCTGTTTCCCTTTTTTGGTATTGAAATTTAGGGACATCCAGAGAAAGGGGTTATGCCTTGACCATATTGTATAATAATAATTGATAGACTTGTCCTCCATGAACTTATCTATTTTTGTGTGTGTGTGAAGCAGCTTGAGTTTTGGCCTTTGCAATATTCCCCATCAATGAGTTCCACAGGTTAAGTGTACATTGTTTTAAAATTGTTGCCTATTAATTTCATTGGGTGAGCACTCGTTCTTATGTGAAGGAGTAAATAACACTTCTTTATTCACTTTCACTACACCAGTTCTGATTTTATAGACTTCTTTCGTATTCTCTGAAGTAATTTCTTTTCTAAAATGAATAGTGCAAATGTTTTAAATCTTTTCTTTTAAATTTTTCCCTGATCATTTTTGTTGACCATCACTGTACTTATCCTGCCTCACCCACAAAAAAGTATATATTAAAACTCGGAAGACAAGAACTTCACAGAGTATTTCAGATGTGAGTGAATCATGGATTCATATGATATTTAGTATCTTATTATCTATCCCTTTTCTAATGATTCCTAATATTCTATTATATTTTTTTACTGACACTAAACATTAAGCAGATGTTTTCAGAGAACTATAGATGATGACTCCAAAATCTTTCTTGAGTAATAGTTAATTTATAACTTATCATTTTGTATGTGTATTTGGGATTATGTTTTCCAATGTGCATTATTTTCCACCAGTCAACATTCAGATGTTCAATGTTTGATCCTACAGTTTAATTATGATAAACATTTATGCAGTTTGAAATGCTGCATTTGTTGTACTTGAATGAATTACATGGGATCTTTTTCAGGGGGATACTGCAAAACACCACATTTATAGATAATGTAACATTCTGTAATATGCATATAGTATGTTATACATACATACATACTCCCACACCCACAAACATACATGCACGCACATACCATCTTGTTGATGTTATAGTTACCTGTCTGTTACTCACATTTACTCACTGGTCAGGTGAGTTAAATTCAAGAGATGGAGGAGCTGAGTTTCTGCCAGTTTGGACTGATGCTCTGAGCTTGACCAGATGAGACCCAAAGATTCATGCAAGATACCTCATCTTTTATAGGACTTTTCTCCCATTCAGGTCTATACATTTTGACCTGCCAACTCTTAATCAGTCACAATCAGTTCTTGAGTGATAGAAATGTAGCCGTGTTAGTCTGGGGTAGTTGAAGCAAAATGCAGGACAATGTAGCACTTTAAAGACTAACAAGATGGTTTATTAGATGATGAGCTTTCGTGGGCCAGACCCATTTCAGTTCTTGTAACATCTGTCTATCTGGAAGTCGTTTTTCATTGTCATCCACTATCAGTATGATGGTGCCTCCTTCTGGTGTTGCTTCAAACTGCCTTAATTGTCTTGGTTAGAAGTGCTTGTTTCTAACTTCAAGGCTTTCTGTCTGTCCTGCATTGGTCTCCTTTTACAACAGGCTCATTTGATATTGCCTTGGTGTCCCTGAATCTCCAGCTCCTCCTTTGTTCATCTGGATGCTGAGGTATCCTTCAAGTTTTTATCTCTTTTCAGACGCTCACATTCCTCACTCATTCACTTTCCCCCAAGAACTAAATAATTGTTTCACATAGGCAGAGGAATATAATTGCCTTTGTAAGGTATCCAATGTAATTCTAATATAAAACTTCTGTTAGTACAAACTTTTAATCATTTATTATATTTTCTTTATAACATAACCTGTATCCTAATTATTCCTAAGAGAAACAGTGTGATCATGCTGAATCACAAGGATCCTTATGGTCTTTCTCTTTCTGCCTTGATGGATGCAGACACACAGATACAGATAAGAAGTCTGCCGGATGCATCTTTACTAATGGTCTAAAAGATGGTTCCTCTTTGCTAACGAGGAAGGGAGATTGGCAGACTTACAGTTGCGTGGAATTTATTCTCATACTAGCCAGTACGCAGTATTTATTTATTCCATCACTAACCATTAAACTACATTACACAAGACATAATTACATTATAAAACTCTGTTTTCTACACTTTGAGCATAAATACTCTACAATTTAATTTGCTTGTTCTTAAAATATTTGGAATTCATATGTGTCTTAAGAGAATAATTGAAGAGTAAATAGCTTATATAAATGTTTATAGCTATCTGCGTATTGTACTGATGATTAACCCAAAAAATCCTATTTGATTAAAGATGGTACCAGCAGAGGGACCTTTCAAATGTTCAGGCTTTCGCAGCAAGCTAATGTGGTAGTATGAAACACTCCTGTCACCCAAAGTCTTTAGGGATTTAAATTATTCCTATTTCATAAATAGATAAAAAGGCACACATTCCTATGAGTCACGCAGAATAAAACAAGAAAATAGGTCTCCTGAAACTCAGACAACCCATCAGCAGCCAGTTATTCTATCATGGAGTAACAAATTACAACTGAAGATCTGCCAAAGAGCCAGATGGTGTTGTGGAAAATAACTTCCATGCTCCGGTACCTAGGGATTCTAGCTTCCTTTTAAAGATAACCATAAACATGAGTGATATGCAGTGCAACTGGGTAAATGACTTCTCAATATTCTGTTGCAATTCCACATTACTGAAATTTAGAAAAGGACTTAATATGTTGTCAGAATAATATGGTGAAAAACATAAGACCTTTAGTTTTATTAATAATTAACAGAATTATATGTTCTAACTTTTCTGTCTTTTGCTTTTGCTACCACATATTGAACTTTTTGGTGGCCTCAAGTGGCTCCAAACCAAATGAATTCAAGTGACCCCATGCACTCCCTACAATGTGCATGAAAGAGGTGTCCGTGTCCTAAATGGTCTAAGAAAACAGTGATCTTAAATATCAGATTTAGCCATCACTTACGTGCTGAAGTATACCCAGGAATAGTGTTACATATCTTCCAAACAAACAAACAAAAACAAACAAAAAAAGACGGAAATTGTAGCGCAAGTTAGAAACAGAGAAATGGAGATACTTTACATGAAGTGAATAAGGCACATTTGTCATATTTTAATGGATCGGCTGGAGTTCACTTTACGTGAATTATTTTGGGGGCATTCCCCAGTCTGTGATCATACATGCCTGATGATCACAATGTTCCCTTCTGGATTTGGTGTCTATGATTCTATAGTATTATTCTTTGAATTAAAATCAAAAGTTTTCTCTCTCACATAATAGGAAAATGACATAAAACATGGAGTTTGACCTGTAGGCGGTTTCAATGGTAGAATAAATAACTAGATTCAAAACTGAATAAAGCAGATACTTTCATGACACAGTATCATAGTGAGAAATTCTTAAAGTTTTTTAATCATTAAAATGTGAAATAAGACACATCAATGAATGATGACTGCTCACAAACTACTAAAGAGAAAAGTGAGAATAAGAGCAAAATGTCTCTTGTATGTTTAAATGCAAAAACACAATAATGCAAATTTAAATTTATACACTTAATAGCTAGGATTTTCAAAGGAACTGAAGGGAGTTATTTGGCCAATTGCTAATGAAATTCAAAAGAGTTGGATACCTATCTGTATCTTACTATAGGTTGGACCTCCAAAAAATGGGACACCCTCATCCAGCAACATCCATGGTCTGGCAGGGAATGCCAGTGTCAAGAGGCCTGGCAGCTCGGAGTCCAATGGCACTGGGTCTGGGATTGGGGCTGGAGCCCCAGTAACACAGCTGGGGATGCAGCAGCCCTAGTAGCAGAGCCAGAGAGGTGGCAGTCCGGGCAGCCAGGGTCACAGCAGCACGGCAGCCCAGCGGAGGGGTCACTGGGGCAGCAGCAGAGAGGAGAGGTGGGCTCGGGGCTATTAGCAGGGAACCTCCCATGGTCTGGCAAATTCCCTTGTTCGGAACCAGTCAGGTTCCAAAGGTGCTGGACCAGAGACGTCCAACCTGTACACTGAAAAACACTGGTTTACAAGTCGTGTCCTGACTTTGTTAGGTTTTAAGGTTAAACAGCCTTACATTTCACATAACCTGCATCCTTGCACATATCATAGTACCCCAAAATCTTTAATCCTCAACACCTGTAGATAGGAAAATACTGCTATCTACATTTTACAGATGGGAAACTAAGGCAGAGAGAGACTTGCCTAAAATCACATAGGAAGTCTGATGGAGCAGGGAATTGAAGCTAGCTCTCTCATGCCCCGACTTGATGTCTTCACATAGCTACACATTAGCACAGCGGTGGCAAATACTAGCTTGTGGGCCAGATCCAGGTGGCCAAGGTTAGCTCCTGGTGAGCCCCCTCCCTGTGTTATCCTGCACAGCTGCAAGTACTGGCGATTGCAGCTCCCATTGATTGTGAATTGCTGTTCCCGGCCAATAGGAGCTTCAGGAAGCAATGTCCCAATCCATGCCCTTTCCCATCATTCCCATTGGCTGGAAATGGTGATTTGTGGCCAACAGGAGCTATGATCACTGGGACCTGTGGCCATAGAGGTAAATATATTAGTGGTGGCCCACCAGTGGCTAGCCCTGGTGAACAGCCACCATGTTGTTATCCATCTTGTCTACAAAAGAAGCCAACTTCAAGGAAAATTAGTACAGAAGTTTTAAAATTTGGAATATCTAACAAATTTTAAAAAACCATTGATTTGAAAAGGGCACACCTCACTATGGGAAAAGGTTATATATGGGAAATTCTAGCCTAAGAGGAAAAGAGAATTTTGTTGAAAACTGTGAACGTCTGAAACAGAACTCTGCTGGAAAATCTTTTGTCTCCCCAACTTTACGGTATCTTTGTGTGCATTAAGAGAATGAACTGTTGTGTACTGTGACAGTCAGGAGTTTCAAAGTCATTGTTATTCTGTCCCAACACTGTGAGAGAGTCTTTTTAATTTGCTTCTCATATTTACTTTAACAGTTTAACATTCAATTTCAGCTATAGATCTATAGTGACTTTGCCACTCTGGAAGTGAGAGGATTAAACATTTGTAACTGTAGAATAAAAGAGTTAAGAAACTTCTTTTATTGTTATCACTTCCCAGAGAAGCTATGCAGCTCTGGGACAGAACTTAGATGTTGTCTTGCCACTGTACAGTGTGCACATGCAGCTTTCTTGGTGTTTGAACAATCCAGATGTCATCTGCTAATCTAGAATATATCTGAGAGTTTGTTTATTCGAAAACTCCTCCCAAATGGTAAGCACAAAGACCACCAAATTTGGCATACAGATCCCTCCTATTATAACTTAAAGCAAGGTAAGGGTTTGGTTGTGCCAGGAAAATGGAAAGTGCTGGAATGAGATTCCGTCTCTTTTCTGCATGGTTTTCTGTGAAGTAATCACCAGGTAGGTTAAAGGAGCTTGCTGGGGGGGCATGCTTCCCTTCCCATAAGGGACTGCTCCAGCCCTGAGCCTGTATGTGTACTTTATATGGGGGGGCGGGCGGGCTGAAGCTTTCCCTCCCTATACCCCCACCCCCCGATTTGTATGGGAACATTGCTGCCTGTTTCCCTTTGTCAGGGAGAAAAGGGAAAGTGCACAGTTTGCTGCATTCCTCACTCTGGCTGGGGAACACAGTGAGCAGATGAACCTAGACCTGCCCCAGCTGGGGGACATGCACTGTCAGATGCATTGAGTATGCAAATTAGAATTTTTTTCCTTTAATATTTCAGTATAGCAATTTTAGGTATTACAATAGGTATACATTTTTCAGAGGAGTGTGATCTTTACATTTCTAGATAGTTTGAATTTCATTATTGTAGTAATGTATTTATATTGTAGTACATGTATATTTCATTTATTGTAGTAATGTAGAACTGTAGATTAGCAAATGAATGTTCCAATGCTGACTCATGTCTCTCTATTGCAAGTTATTCTTAAACTGAGAATGAAATATATTGTTTACTCATACTCTATTTAATCTTTACCTTACAGAACAGGCAAATTACAGAACTTGACAGCACCATGTAATGCTAACTGCAACTGCTTACGCTCCTTCTATTACCCAGTTTGTGGCAGAGATGAAGTCCAGTATTTTTCTCCCTGTTTTGCAGGATGTACATCTTTTTCTGTTCAAAAGAGGAAAAAGGTATTTTATATTATGTCTTTAACAGTTTATATTTTATCTTGGATTCTTAGCAAAATTTGTATACCATTTATAATTGTTAAATGCAAGAGAATTGTTTCTATTACAACAAAACAGTGAATCAACGCTAGCTTTTAAATACATAATTGGTAACTTAAAAAAAGAAACCAAATTAAAACCCCTCTTTGAATCTATAAGTGAATATTCCATTTCAATGGAATGAGGGATCTAGTGCCTCATAGTTGTTACCTGTCTGCAGCGTTTTGTTGCAAATGTAGTTTTGTGACAATTCCAGCATTGCACTCATTCTGTAAAACCAGAAATGGAGTAGCAGAAGTTGCTACTATTGCTAGTTTTTAGTGTCAAAAACAGCTTGTGATTTTTAAGAGCACACCTGGATTTTGAGATTTAATATGTATTTACAAATTACTTTGAATTTTCTTAGCTGACTTTATGTTGCATACATTTTTTTCTCTAAATCAGGCTCTAACTGCCATCATGCAGAAATGAATTATTTTTTCCAGCATAGGATTTTCCAGCACGGTTCATCACCAGGCTTGTTAGGGTCAAAATAATTCTAAAAGCTCTTGGCTTTCTGTGTAAGGGTGCTAAAGGAATCTAGGATGGTGGGGGCAATAACATTTTGTTTATGTTGGAATCTTAAGAGTAATTATTTTGGGATATAATAGTAATCTATTTTCAAGAATAGATTTTGAGATGTCAAAGTGACAAATTCTTAGTCAAGAGTAATGCTGATTACAGCCAGAGAAGAGGAATTTTAGGGATGAGGGAGTTGTACTGGTTCATACTGCTCTTTGCTGCAAAGCACTTCTTGTTTTAAGAGTTAAGTCCTGCTCTGCTGAATGTTTCTCTAAATTCTTGCAGGACTTAGTTCTGTAGGTGGTGCACCTTGGGAAACAGGAAGCACACAGTGCTACAGTTCCATCTGTACCAAAAGGATGTTTTAAGGAGTTGCCAAGTTCCTTTAGCCACGTAGAAGTATAAAAATGGCACCTCAGGAGAAGGAGGGAAGCCTTTATGTCAGCATTTGGGTCACGACCAAAATATGGGTCGCCATTACATTTCAAACGGGTCGCCAGGTGTCTCTTTAGGTGGTACTCTTAAGGAGCCATTCACACATTTGAAAAGGTCCTGGGCTGGTCAGCTCCACAGCTTGTTTAGTTTTAAAGAGCCATTCACCTGAAGTGGTACTCAACTTACTTGGATTAACAACCTTCAGGCTGTTAAACCAATCAATTGAACTGAATACCATGTCAGTGACTCAGAGCAGAGTAAGGTGGGGTCTCCAACCTTTTTAAGCAGGAGATCACTTTTTGAATTTAAGTGCAATCCAGGATCTACCTCAAACCCAAATACCCTTGCCCCGCCTCCATCGTGCCTCTTCTCCGAGGCCCTGCCCCTACTCACTCCATTCTCCCTCCCTTTCACCAGGCAGGGGCAAAGGGTTGGGGCACAAGCTCTGGTCTTGTGCTAAGGGATTTGGAGTGTGAAGGGGCTCTGAGTTTAGCCTGGGGCAGGGAGTTGGGGTGCAGGAGGGAGTTCAAGGTGCAGATACAGTAAGGGAGTTTGGGACAGGAGGACTCAGGGCAAGAGCAGGGGCTTGGGGTGTAGACGGGGGTACGTGACAGGGGCAGGGGTTGGGATCTGGCTGCATCTGGACATTGTTTACCACAGGTGGCTCCTGGGTGATGGTGCAGTGGGACTAAGGCAGGCTCACCCCTGCCCTGGCCCTGTATCACTCTCAAAAGCAGCCAGCAAACTTCTTCCATCCCAGGCCCTGTTGTGCCCCTCTTCCCGATCTGTGGAAACAGAATACAGTGTGAAAAAAGGGGCACCCTGACATCAGCACCCCTCCTCTCCCTTCCCTGCTCTGTACCACAAGCAGGAGGCTCCTAGGGGGGCAGAGGGAAGCTCCAGGCAAAGGGCAGGAGGTGCACAGCAGTGTGGGGAGGGGCAGCTGATAGCTTCTTGTCAGAGGCTCCAACATCTACCAGTAGATCCCGATCTAATGGTTGGTGACCACTGGAGTAAGGAAATATCCCTGGACATGGGGGGAAAGAAGTTAGAATGCTAGGGAACGCAGAGAAGAAGCAGCGCCCAGCTCAGGTAGATGGGGGTGGCGGCCAGGTGTCCGGGTGTCCTGTTGAGAGGTTTCCAGCTGCCTCGGCTGGGGTTCCTGTGCTGGCATTGGCTGGACAGGCAGAGTTCTTGTCAGCCGACGGTCAGGGCAGTGTGTGTGTGTATGTTTCCGAGAAAAGGTTTAACGTCCGTGCCTTTACTGCTAGGACCGGGGTCCCATGGCAGAGGGTGGCCAGCAGGCCAACAGACGCCCCGTTATATAGGAAGAGCTTATTACATCTTAGATTTCAGCTGCTAGAATTTCATAATTCCTTCGCAGCGGGCAGCCTTGAGGAAAGACTGAAAGATGCCCCAGTGGATCCTGTCACCTGGGAGTGACACAGATCCAAACGCCCAAGCTCTTCCTATAACTGTCCCTTTAGACCGGCTGAAGTTCTTTTAAATTGCGCTTGGTTCTGTTACAGCAACTGAAGGAGGCAGGTTAAAGCTTAAACAGTTACAGGTTTATTAAAGAAGCTTATAAATCATATGGTTACAATGGCTATTGCTCTATTTCTTAAATGCTAGCAAATATATATATAGATTTTAAAAATGGTTACAGGAAAAAGGTAAAGATAGAAAATAGAAATAATGGTACCAAGTAACAGCTTACTCTTTCTATGTGTACACTTAAGACAGAGGACCACATCCAGGTACCATTTTTACCCCCTTCTGTGCCTCTCGACTCCAGCATGTCAGGCCAGGGCCGGTCCCTCAATTCCTAGGAAAGACGAAAATACGAGGTGGGCGTCCCCATAGAACCTCGGGAGGTCAAACACCTAACCCGACCAGCAGGTAGAGGGTAGAATGACACTCAAAGTGAGTGTGTGCTGGGCCCATCTTTTATAATCATGGGGTCACGTATTTCTCTTTCTTATCTTAATTGCCAATTGATGCTGGTCTGTCTGCTGTGAGACCAGTTCTTACAAGGGAGTTGTGAACTTAATTTACACTTGTAAGAGAGATTTGAGGTGATTAAATTTTGAAGTACAGGACATTGTTTTCTCAGTGGAAAATTCCCCTTCCAGGGACTGTGTGTGTTCGAATCAACATAGGTGCCAGCCGGTGGCAGTCTCACATATCCTGATCTCTCCTCATATCTATGTTTCAGCTTCTCAGGATCAGATGAGCCAGCATAGACTATGCTGATATTATTGCTCCTTCTCTGCCCTGTGCTGCAGCCACGGTGGGCCGAGGTAGGGGCTGGAACTGTGTTCGGGAGCGTAGGGGAGAAAGGCTGGGACTGCGTTGGGGGATGCCACAACAATTCCGAGGATACAACAGTTAGCAAAGCAAATGCAAGCTCAACCATCCTATTAATTTAAGTTCAGGTGAAACTGTTTGGTAAAATACTAAATTTTACTTGTTTTTTTGAATGTGTTTTATGTTTCTAATATTTTTGTAACACCTGTGCGTTGTGTGTGAGACCCCCAGGCCCTGGCTCCCAGCCTCTGAGTGTGTGACTCCCAGCCCCTGGGTGTGACTCTCAGGCCCCTGAGTACGGGTCGCCAGGTGTCTCTTTAGGTGGTACTCTTAAGGAGCCATTCACACATTTGAAAAGGTCCTGGGCTGGTCAGCTCCACAGCTTGTTTAGTTTTAAAGAGCCATTCACCTGAAGTGGTACTCAACTTACTTGGATTAACAACCTTCAGGCTGTTAAACCAATCAATTGAACTGAATACCATGTCAGTGACTCAGAGCAGAGTAAGGTGGGGTCTCCAACCTTTTTAAGCAGGAGATCACTTTTTGAATTTAAGTGCAATCCAGGATCTACCTCAAACCCAAATACCCTCCTTTCCCCCGCCCCCATTTTTAATTGCTTTGGGTCACCAAGTCTTCCTGAATTGTCAAAATGGGTCCCCATCTGGAAAATTTAGCCTGGGGCAGGGAGTTGGGGTGCAGGAGGGAGTTCAAGGTGCAGATACAGTAAGGGAGTTTGGGACAGGAGGACTCAGGGCAAGAGCAGGGGCTTGGGGTGTAGACGGGGGTACGTGACAGGGGCAGGGGTTGGGATCTGGCTGCATCTGGACATTGTTTACCACAGGTGGCTCCTGGGTGATGGTGCAGTGGGACTAAGGCAGGCTCACCCCTGCCCTGGCCCTGTATCACTCTCAAAAGCAGCCAGCAAACTTCTTCCATCCCAGGCCCTGTTGTGCCCCTCTTCCCGATCTGTGGAAACAGAATACAGTGTGAAAAAAGGGGCACCCTGACATCAGCACCCCTCCTCTCCCTTCCCTGCTCTGTACCACAAGCAGGAGGCTCCTAGGGGGGCAGAGGGAAGCTCCAGGCAAAGGGCAGGAGGTGCACAGCAGTGTGGGGAGGGGCAGCTGATAGCTTCTTGTCAGAGGCTCCAACATCTACCAGTAGATCCCGATCTAATGGTTGGTGACCACTGGAGTAAGGAAATATCCCTGGACATGGGGGGAAAGAAGTTAGAATGCTAGGGAACGCAGAGAAGAAGCAGCGCCCAGCTCAGGTAGATGGGGGTGGCGGCCAGGTGTCCGGGTGTCCTGTTGAGAGGTTTCCAGCTGCCTCGGCTGGGGTTCCTGTGCTGGCATTGGCTGGACAGGCAGAGTTCTTGTCAGCCGACGGTCAGGGCAGTGTGTGTGTGTATGTTTCCGAGAAAAGGTTTAACGTCCGTGCCTTTACTGCTAGGACCGGGGTCCCATGGCAGAGGGTGGCCAGCAGGCCAACAGACGCCCCGTTATATAGGAAGAGCTTATTACATCTTAGATTTCAGCTGCTAGAATTTCATAATTCCTTCGCAGCGGGCAGCCTTGAGGAAAGACTGAAAGATGCCCCAGTGGATCCTGTCACCTGGGAGTGACACAGATCCAAACGCCCAAGCTCTTCCTATAACTGTC